TAGTAGATTTATAAAGATGACAGGATACAAGTCGGCTGGTACTTCATACATATTCTTCAGATATTTCTGACAAAATGATGAAATGAGTTGTGCTTATTAGCTATAGTTAAGTAAACGGTGTAGAATAGTAAATACAAGTCTATTGTTGAAAATTCTTGTTCCATCTCGATGATGGCTTACGTTCCAGAAATCGAAATGTCAGATTAAAAGATTATGAATGAATCGCACACAAATACATATCTAAGAAAGTGGGCAAGAATTTATGTCATAGGCGCATTTTTAAATGCGCTCCAGAAGATAATTAGTACCGTACATAATAAAATTTAACGGTGTATAATAGACGTAATTCAAAGACAAAATGTAAGCTTTAAGTATGAAGTACATTCAGGTGCATCGAGTACTGGCGGACTCAAAAACCCGACTTGTAATATACAACAGATCAGTAACCGCGGTAGCGGCTTTATCAAAACAACGCTACAAATGTCTTTGTCAGTACTGCATGTCATTCACTAAGTCTTTTCGATCAATAAACGCCATGAGATATGCTCATATGTGCAATTGCATAGATGGCCCGGAGCAATAAGCACTGGCTACAATAAAGATGACCAAGTGGGTTGAAACAGCAGATTCAGCTTAAACTATTAGTATTAAGATTTTAACATATTAAGTCTTCAGCGTATCGTTGAGACCGGACAAACTGTTCGAATTCTGTAACATGAATTTGCTCGTTGGACATACTGATCACCAATTATATCTAGAAACGTCAATGTCATACTTGGGACATCAGCAGTGTCTGGTTATGCGATAAACTAGTTTATGAGCGGCAACAAAAAATAGTTCTCTCCAGTACAGTGTAAGAAGATATTTAATGAAAAATAGTCGTTACTTACGATGCTCGTTATCGCAAAGGGACTTGATCCAGCAGCCTAGAAAACAAGTTTTTTGGAAATCAAACGAATCGTACGTAAAACAAAGGCAACTGAACTACCGGAACAGGTTGCTTTGGTCAAGTGACCCTTCCTTTCGACCACTGACACCACTTGTTTTGCACGTCCAACGCCCGTCTCGACCGTTTCTGGTAGTTTCGTTGGTGCTTTCTCGTCCCTGGCACCGACGGGAGTAAATTCGGGGGGTAAGCGAGGTCTTGCCATCGGTTCCTGTGCTTTTCCGGGAAGAGGTGCCTGCTTTCCTGCTGCCACGGCATACTCATCATAGACAGGGAAGTTTTTCGACGCTGGGTGTTCGACCAGGTCCTCGCGGATGATCGATAGAGTACTCGGCTGGGTTTTGGCGGCCGTCTAAACATTTCTAGTGAAACGTGAATGAACTTTTCA